GGGCCTCTAAAGCGGCGCGTGGTGCAGCAACGGGCCGCACACGGGCTCCTAAGGCGGGGCACGATGCAGCAGTAGGCCGTGCGTTGGCTCCTAAGGCGGCGCGCGAGCAGGGGCGGGCTACACACCGAAGGAGGCGACGCAAGGGGCCAGCGGCAGGCTACGCGGGCGGCTTAGGCGGCGTGCGGGCCGGCAGCAGGCTGCACGGGCGGCAGATGCGGCGCGCAGGGCCTAAGCGGGCTGCGCAAGGGCGGCTTACGCGGCGCGCGGGCCGGCGGCAGGCTGCGCGGGCGGCTGACGTGGCGCGCGGGGCCGAGACCGGGCCTAAACGAGCCTAAATGGGCCGCGCGCGGGCTTCTTAAGTGACGCGCGCGGGAAAAAAAATGGGGCCGCGCGCGTGCAGCCGAGGCGCGCGCGGGCAGCAGGCAAGGCAGGAAGGCAAATGAGGTAATGTGGTAATGGGTGGGCCATAATCTTAGGTCCTAAAGACCTCTAGGCTCTAGATACCATCTTAAAGTATGGGCATGAGTGAAGTTGGACTGTCGAGAAAATTGGTACAAAGGAAAAACCTAAGGGGTTGTACCCCACAGTGAGTGTCAGAACATTATAGCTTACTTATTTGTGTAGGTTCTAGTGGGGTATCCCATAGGGGGTACAACCCAATTATGGTTTCCTATTTGTACTCACTTCGTTCATAGTCATTTCATTCTCGTTCTCTTGTTCACATGGATCAACCTCCACCCCAGGGTCTCCAGGCCGGAGACCTCCCCAGCCCTGCTGTGGACGGGGAAGGTTGGCGATGCGTCGGCGTTCCGGGTCTGGGGATCTCGGGCGTTTGTCCGCGACTTGTCTGCGGACAAGCTGTCCCCTCGCACTGCTCCCTGCGTCTTCCTGGGGTTCCCCCCCGACGCCCCTGGGTGGCAGTTCTACCACCCCACCTCTCGCCGTGTTCTGTCCTCTCAGGGCGTCACGTTCGACGAGTCGGTACCCTACTACCGCCTCTTCCCCTACCGCACTCCGTCCCTCCCCCCGCCCCCGCTCTTTCTTGTCCCAGGTCCCCCCCCGGTAGACCCCCTCCCCCCTCAGGGTCCTGCCCCTTTAGGTGTGTCCCAGGTAGACGCAGTCGAGCCTGTCGAGGTCACTGGTGACTCTAGTGCGGAGCCTGGGGGTGCTGAGCCTTGGGGTGCTGGGCCTGGGGGTGCTGAGCCTGGGGGTGCTGGGCCTGGGGGTGCTGAGCCTGGGGGTGCTGAGCCTGGGGGTGCTGAGCCTGGGGGTGCTACGCCTGGAGGTGCCTTGCCTGGGGGTGCTGGGTCTGGGGGTGCTGAGCATGGAGGCTCTCTGGGTGCTTCGTCTCGCCGGGAGCCACTCTCTCCACAGGAGCTGCGCGAGTGGTTTTCCCGACGCTGGAGCCATGCTGCTGGTGCTGGAGGTTCGTCGGCTACTGAGGGTGCTGCTGTCGCTGGTCCCGGAGGTGCTCGTCCTGGGAGTACTGGAGCTGCTGGGCCTGTGGGTTCGACTGGAGCTGGTGCGTCTGAGGGTGTTGGCGCTGAGACTACCAGTGGCGGTCCAGATGGCGGTGCTCCTGGTGCTTCTGGAGGTTCTGGGGCTGCTGGAGGTGCTGCTGGGTGTTCTAGAGCTGCTGGAGGTGCGGTTGGAGGTGCTGCTGGAGCGGGTACTCCTGCTGGGGGTACTGGTCCTGTCCCTGCTATTTCTGGCGCCGACCGTACTTCGTTCCACTCCTGCAGCAGGTTCTTGGTCTTACACCTTCTACTGGTCCTCCTCCTCCTCCCTTAGAGGGTCCATAGCCTGTCCTGTCACAGTCACAGCTACAGCCTGCCTCCCCTTTGCCTGCTCCTTCTCCCTACGCTGGTCCTACTGGAGGTCTCACTGAGCGTCGTGAGCCTGCGTCTCGTCCTGCGTCGCCTGTTCGTACTGCGCGCGCTAGTGGTCGCGGTTCGCGTCAGCGTCCACCTCCTGTCCCTGGCACGCACCGGATGTCTCTGCGTCCGTCCACTGCTCCTCTGCATGCCCCTTTGCCTTCTCCTCCTGCGTCCTCTCTTCCTGCTCTTGCCGACCCGGAGTCGGACTCTCTTCGTGCTGCCAGTCCTACTGTCACGCGTCTCCTTGCTATTGCCGTCACTGACCCTTCTTTCGAGTCCACTGCTGCATGGGCCCTTGTTACTGAGGTCGTCGACTTTGCTGCTCGCTGTCGTCTAGACTACGCTGCTAGTCTTGTCGCTGAGTCTGAGTCTGCCTGTCCTCCGTCCGTCGGGGGTGAGTGTGCCCTTGGCACGGACGTCCTTGAGGACAGGCAGGAGGAGTTCCAGTGTCTGGCAGCCGCTTCACCTCATCTCGTGTCCGTACTGCTCACCCCTGAGGGAGACCCGGATGCACTTGACATCCCGACTCCGCGCTCTTACGCGGAGGCGATAGAGGGTCCCTACTCCTCTCAGTGGCAGGCAGCTATGGATGCAGAGATGGCTTCCTGGAAGTCCACAGGCACCTACGTTGACGCTGGACCCCTCCTGGGGCGAACATCGTCAGTGGCATGTGGATCTTCAGGGTGAAGCGGCCGCCGGGTTCTCCGCCTGTCTTCAAGGCGCGTTACGTGGCTCGTGGTTTCAGTCAGCGGCAGGGAGTTGACTACTTTCAGACCTTCTCCCCTACCCCGAAGATGACCACTCTTCGGGTACTGCTGCACGTTGCTGCTCACCATGACTACGAGCTGCACTCTCTCGACTTCAGCACTACTTTCTTGCAGGGCAGCCTGCACGAGGAGATCTGGCTGCGCCGTCCACCTGGCTTCACTGGGTCTTTCCCTCCTGGTACCCAGTGGAGTCTCCGGCGTCCAGTCTACTGTCTCCGCCTGGCGCCGCGTGAGTGGCACGACACACTGAGGACTACGCTGGCGGCACTTGGGTTTGCTCCTTCTACTGCCGACCCTGACAAAATTAGAAGGAAGGAAGAGGGTTGAACTAGCAAGAATGAGGATACAAAAAGCAAACCCTAGAAGGGTTGTACTCGCTATAGAGCACCCCACTACAGGCTAGAACATAAGATAATATTCTGACAGACCCGTCGCTGTTTCTGCGCACCGACACCTCTCTGCCGCCGTTCTACATCCTCGTGTACGTCGACGACTTGGTCTTTGACACTGCTTACACTACTGGACTCGCCTACGTGAAGTGCGAGCTGCAGAAGAGACACACGTGCACTGACCTGGGTGAACTGCGCAGCTACCTTGGCTTGCAGATCACCCGGGACAGAGCACACCGCACCATTACCCTGACTCAGTCACACATGGTGCAGCAGGTCCTTCGGCGCTTCGGCTTCACGTACTCCTCGCCTCAGGCCACTCCTCTGCCTACTCGCCACTCGCTCTCAGCTCTGCCTTCGGATGAGTCCGTAGAGTCGAGTGGCCCGTATCCAGAGCTTGTCGGCTGCCTCATGTACCTGATGACCTGCACACGACCTGACCTTGCATACCCTCTTAGCATTCTTGCACGCTATGTTGCTCCTTGGAGACACCGACCAGAGCACATGGCTGCAGCGAAGAGGGTGTTGCGCTACTTGTGCAGTACGTCGGGCATGGGGCTAGTGCTTGGAGGGCGGAGTCCAGTGGTCCTCACTGGGCACGCGGACGCGTCTTGGGCTGACGACCAGGCTACGCAGCGGTCGTCACAGGGTTACACTTTCATTCTTGGTTCCGGCTCTGTTTCGTGGCGGGCTACCCGCTCGTCTTCTGTTCTCGGCTCCAGTTGTGAGGCTGAGATCTACGCCGGGGCTATGGCTGCCCAGGAGCTTCGCTGGCTCACCTACCTGCTGACCGACCTTGGAGAGCCGCCTCGTTCTCCTCCAGTCTTGTACGTAGACAACAAGGCCATGCTGGCCTTGTGTCGAGAGCAGCGACTGGAGCATAGGACAAAGCATATTGCTCTCCGCTACTTTCTTGCGCGTGAGCTACAGCAGCGTGGACAGTTGCGGCTTGCGTACGTGGCCTCTGAGGCCAACACTACTGATGTCTTCACCAAGGCACTTGCGCCTTGTGATCATCAGCGCTTCTGCACTCAGTTGGGTCTTGTGCCTGTCTTGCCTCACTTGCTCATTTCATGACCTTGTTTGTACTGTCACATATATATACTCTTGCTCTTGCTTGCTTAGCCTCTTCTTTTCCTATATATGTGATCTTGCATGTGAACTAGCCTTTTGGCCTTTGAACTTGTGCTCGGAATGTGTGGTGACTTTGTGATCCACCCTGAGCTTTGCCTTGCTTTGTTTGACTGGTCTTGTGACCCCTTGTTCTCCCCCACTTTGTCTATAGGGGTGTGTCAGAACATTATAGCTTACTTATTTGTGTAGGCTATAGTGGGGTATCCCATAGTGGGTACAACCTAATTATGGTTTCCTATTTGTACTCACTTCGTTCATAGTCATTTCATTCTCGTTCTCTTGTTCACAGGGAGTACCCCACTAAGCCTACCCAAACTATAAACATAGATATATGTTTGACAGAGCGCGGGGCGGTGGGCCCATGGGAATCGAACTGCCCTTTATACCATATCAACGTGGTAATGGAATAATGAACCAACTAAGGAAAGAACAAACAAGCAAGATATAGGAAACCTAACCTTAACCCTAGGAAAGAGATAGTACACATAGACTAAGCTATAACAAACATAGCTTGACATTCGACCCTTCCCACACTGGTGACGTGGAGACCCAGCAGTGGTGCTCAGATTGTGTGGTGACTTCGTGATCCACCTTGAGGTTTGCTGTGATCCCTCTCTTGACTGGTTTTGTGACCACTTGCTTGTCTTGGTCGTTTTGATGCCCCACTTAGGCCATGTGGTGTGGTGTGTCAAAACTATGTTTGCATGCATGGTTAGTTAGCCTGTAGTGAGTTGCATGCTAGGGGGTACATTCTTTCACCCGACAATCTCCTTGTACTCCTCCCCTTAGACCTTATCCACATTCCGCTGTTTCTATAAGAATGGTGACCAGCA